CCCTAAGGAGGTACTATGTCAGGGAACAAACCCGAACGGCGGAGAGTTCAACTTCAATGGAAATCTATATACCAGTGGATCAGCAAATGTAAACAACAATGGCTTGTTCATGCTCACAAATTCCACACCACGAACATCTGGCCAAGTTTTCTATAATTACCCACTTCGGTTCAAGGACTCTGAAAACGGTACAGTTTACTCATTCTCCACTACCTTCGTTTTTGCTATTGAGTTTCATAATGGAACTTTTGGAGGATATGGAATTGCCTTTGTTATTTGTCCTACAAGAGGTTTGCCTCTTACTTTTCCACTAAGTTACCTTGGACTTTTCAACTTAACCAACTTGGGAGATCCCAAAAATCATATAGTAGCAATTGAGCTTGATACTACCTATGATGAATCATTGGGGGACATAAATGCTAACCATGTAGGCATTGACATCAATACCTTAGTTTCAGATAAAGTTGCTTCAGCAAGTTATTTCAAAGATGATGGTACAATTAGAAACCTTACGCTTTCTAGTGGAGATCTTATGCAAGTTTGGATTGAGTATGACAACAAACTGAAACAGCTTAATGTCACACTTCATCCTCTTTTTGTCCCTAAGCCAAAGACTCCACTACTTTCTCTACAAAAGGATCTTTCTCCATATTTTCTTGAGTATATGTACATTGGCTTCACATCAGCCACTGGGTCGCTAACTGCATCTCATTATATATTGGATTGGAAGTTCAAGATGAACGGGCTGGTTTCAGATATAAACCCCTCTCGTCTTCCAAAAATCCCATCGTGGAATCAGCCAAAGAGCCACCGTATAAAGAAACTTTTAGCGATCATTTTGAGTGTCTTGGGCGTTACAATCCTCGTCTTCTTGATTTTTGGTTTATGGATCTTCTTGAAGCGGAAGAAGTTAATGGAAGTTCTTGAAGACTGGGAGGTGCAGTTTGGTCCTCATAGGTTTTCTTACAAAGATCTACACATTGCTACAAAGGGTTTTAAGGATACTGAGCTTCTCGGTAAAGGCGGGTTTGGGAAAGTCTATAAAGGTACATTACCAGTTTCCAACATAGAGATCGCGGTGAAGAGAGTTTCTCACGATTCAAGGCAGGGCATGCGAGAGTTTATTGCTGAGATCGCAACCATTGGGCGTCTCAGACACCCCAACTTAGTACGGCTCCAGGGTTACTGCAGACATAAAGGTGAACTCTATTTGGTGTATGATTGTATGCCAAGAGGCAGCCTTGATAAGTTCCTCTACCACCAACCGATGGAAAGTCTTCATTGGTCACAAAGATACAAAATCATCAAAGACGTCGCTTCTGGGCTCTGCTATTTGCACCAGCAATGGGTGCAGGTCATCATTCACAGGGACATCAAGCCAGCCAATATCCTTCTTGATGGAAGTATGAACGCTAAACTTGGTGACTTTGGTCTTGCGAAGCTATGCGATCATGGGATTGATCCTCAGACCTCGCACGTGGCAGGTAAAAATGTCAAATAGTTGTGGTACATCAGAACTTATATATGTTGAAGACATATCCCAAGAAAAGATCTTGCACTAACATTGGTTTTACTTATTTCTAAGGTACGCTTGGGTATATCTCACCTGAGCTCTCAAGAACAGGAAAAGCAAGTACAAACTCTGATGTATATGCATTTGGAGTGGTCATGCTGGAGATTACATGTGGACGCAAACCCATCTTATCACGAGCTTCACAAAGCAAGATGGTTCTTACTGACTGGGTGCTAGAATGTTGGGAGAACGGAGATATAATGCAGGTTATTGATCAACGGATTGGGAATGAGTATCATGAGGAGCAAGTGGCACTGGTTTTGAAGCTCGGCTTACTCTGTTCGCATCCAGTAGCAGCCATCAGGCCAAGCATGTCCGGGGTCGTTCAGTTCTTAGATAATGTGGCTCAACTTCCACATAACTTACTTGACATTATGAAAGATCAAGAAAGTAAAGGAGGCACTGAAGCCTCTGACGAAGCACCCAATTCTCCTGCATCCAACTCCATTGCTCCGTTGACCTTTACAGAACCGTTTGTCTCTCGTGGGCGGTAAAAACTAAACCTAGACGGTAAGTGGAAATCATCTTTAGGTTTCAAAGTTTGAGTATGTCTTGGAAAAGAACCTAGTAATGGTTTCTATCTGTAATTACTGTGGAATCACCTTTCACTACATGCTTTCTTGATTTTCTTCTATTAGTGTTTGCAATTTTTACTAGTTATCAAATATTTTTTTTTTTAAAATTTGTGTTTATAAAAGTTTAAAAATAAAGAAATATTTTTTTCTTAATAATTATGCATTCTAATCGCATCTTAATCTTATTGTTATATAAAGTATATAGGTAATCACATAGTAACCAAATCACATCTCCATTCTGCATCGCTTCCAAATCACATCGCTCCCTCACAAGAGCCTTGGTGGGTTGTAATAAGTTTGTTAACTTGCTAACAAAAATAAAATAGAAGCAAAAGAAAGACAACACAATTTTGGAAGAATAGAGAGTTGATTCAATTTACTCATGCTGTCAGGAAACAAAAGAAGAATCATAATGTGCTACTCTGATATATTGCCATAGTGATAGAGAGAACAATACACTATTGTCTAGAAACAGAGCTGCACAATTCTTATAGCATTGTTATGTCTCTGTTTGTCGCAAATGTATTACATTGTTTCATCTCTTGTTCAAATATTGACAAGAATCAATAAATGATAAGCCCTTGGAAGCAAGTGATTAAGGAAGAATAGAGACGATCAAGGAGAAGAAGATCATGTATAGTGTATGTTGAGCTGGCATAAGTAAACAGATAAGAAGAAGTAGTTGGATTTGCTTGTTGAGTCGTTGAGTTTGTTAAAAGAATTGACTATTGTTGACTCATGAAGTTTGTAAAAGACCTTCTACTATATAAGGAGGGTTAGAGAGAAATATTGGGTATCGATTATCTTGTACAGAGATACACTTGTATTGTTTCTATTGGATAATACAATCTTGAAAGTCTATCAATTAAGTAATCAAGAAAGGGGAACAAACCTGAAAATTTCTCAAATTGTCCACATCTCTATGTTAGAACTTGGAAGTTGCGTAACTGAATACTTTATATAGAAAGAATGATTCAATGAAAGAAAATTCAAAAAGTATGACTTTGACTAGGAGTAGAAAAAAAAAAAACCTTACATAATATAGTAAAAAAAATTTTAGTTGAAGTTATGATGTTGCCATGTG